TCCCACAGATGTAAGTCAGTTTGATTTCTGAGTATTTCATCTGGTGAGGTCTAGATGTATAGGTGCCTTTTATGTTGTTAGAAAAGGTATTTGCAATGAATAAATCATTGGTCTTGCAAAATTACATCGTGTGATCTCCACTGTATATTCATCACCAAGGCCAAATTTTCTAACTATTATTCCTTCTTTGCGTCTAACTTTCTCATTCCAATCACTTGTAATTATAAATACATTTTGATCAATTTCAGACTTGGAGTTTCAGACTGACTTTCCTGGTTGATGCATAAATTTGAATAATAGTGGTATTAACTGATCATTTCAGGATATATCTTGAAATGCTCTTCTTGACAATGAATGTATAATGACATTCTGTCAAGATACATCTTGACGATGAATGTATAAAAATAAATGTTGAATTTATTTTTCCTGGCATTGTAAACTATATGATTTTTGTTGTTGTTAGGTGCCATTGAGTTGATACCAACTCATAGTGATCCTATTTACAACAGAACAAAACACTGCCCGGTCCTGGGCCAACTTCACAATTGTTGCCACACTTAAGCCCATTGATGCTGCCACTTTGCCAGTCCATCTTGCTGGAGGTCTTCCTCTTTTTCTCTGACCCTCCAGCTTACCATCCTGGCCTCCAAGGAGCACTCTGGCTGCACTTCTTCCAACATAGATCTGTTGGTTCTTTTGGCCGCCCATGGCACTTTGAATATTCTCCTCCAGCATTGTAACTCAGATGCATCAGTTCTTCTGTGGTCTTTCTTATTCACTGTCCAGCTTTCGCATGCATATGAGGTTATTGAAAATACCATGGCTGGGTCAGGCACACCTTAGTCCTCAAGCTAACATCTTTGCTCTTCAACACTTTAAAAAGGTCTTGTGCAGCAGATTTGCCTAATGCAATGTATCGTTTGATTTCTTGACTTGCTGCTTCTATGAGTATTGATGATTAAGAAGAATGAAGTCTTTAACAACTTCAATCTTTTCTCCATTTGTAAGAATGTTGCTTATTGGTCCAGTTGTGAGGATTTTTGTTTTCTTTACATTGAGATGCAATCCATACCAAAGACTATGGTCTTTGATATTCATTAGTAAATATGTTAAGTCCTCTTCACTTTCAGTAAGCAAGGTTGTACCATTTGCATATCACAGGTTTGTTAATCATAAACTATATGAATATTGGATTCTAAATGGCCCATACCAGTCCATTTCAGTTCACTAATGCCTAGGATTCCATTAGAGCACCTCTCTTTCAGACAGGGCTCAAATACAGATATCCTCCAATCTATTGCCCAGGTTGCTGTCTTTCAGATTTCCAAAGGAATGTGAATGTGTAAATCATTAAAGTGTATCATTTATATCACATGCAAGAAAAGTTTTGTTGAAGATAATTTCAAAAGTGGCTGCAACAGTACATCTACAGGGAACAGCCAGAGATTCAAACCTGCTAAAATAGAGGCATCAACCATTCTTCCCACAACCCTTTTAATCCTCAGTTGGCTTTAATAATCCATTGCAATGACCACACAAGATGCAGGCACCATGCTCACAGTTACAGGATTTAGTCTGAAAGTTAGCAGGTTACAATACAGGATCAGAAAATGCTCTGGGCACTTTGGTTTCAATCAACTGCTGGTCCGTCCATTGCTGATCTATGCCCATAGGACACTGCACTCCTCCATAAGTCGCAGGCTCCAGGCAATTGACTCTAGTTGTGTGGGTCAGCAAGCCTGCCTCCCTCACTTGAGTGCATGTAGACACACCCACTGTAAAGGTGAGCTTCCTGCCCCGAGTCCCTAGGCTTCCCTTCCTTCCTGGGCTGTGACGTCACTGCTCTTTCTTGGGCTCTCGTTCGTTTGTGTTCTGCTGCTGCTCTTCTGCCACTCCTCTGGTGTCGTCACAGCTTTGTGTCCCTGGGTTGGTTCTGAGCCTCCTGGGGTGAGGAGGTTCAATAGTCAGTGATCTGGGGGTCCAAAGGTCCTACTGAACCCCTAGTTCATTTTATTTGATGATAATGAGATATCCCCCTCCTGCTTCTGAATTGACTCATTTTAAACCTATTAAAGAATTTCGCGTTTTTACGATTAAAATTAAATCTGCAAACATCCACAATGAATCATGACATCCTATCCGTGTCTTTTCCCATCTTTCCTTACCCAGACCCAGCAGGGCAGAGAATGTTACTTGGTAGGAGTTATAGGCTATGGCTAGGAGCACTGGTAGTGTAGTGGTTACGAATCGGGCTGCAAACCGCAAGGTCAGCAATTCGAAACTACCAGCTGATCCGCGGAGAAAGATGAGGCTTTCTGCTACGGTAAAGATTTACAGCCTCCGAAACCCTGACAGGGTCGCTATGAGTTGCCACCAACTCCACAGCACATCACCACCACCACCACAGGTTATGGCTAGAAGAGACATTAGATAATTCACTACACTTCTACAAAGCCAGATTAAGAAGAGGATGTCTAATGAGATACATCATTGTTGATGTCAGTTGGATCTTGACTAAAAGCAAGAGAATACCAGAAAATGTCTACTTGTGCTTTATTGACTATGCAAAACAAAGGCTTTTGACTTTGTGAATTATGACAGTCTATAGGTAACAGAAGAATGGGTATTCCAGAACACTTAGTTTTGCTCGTGTGAGCCTGCACATAGACCAGTACGCAGTTGTTCAAACAGAACAGGGGGATACTGAATAGTTTAAAATGAGGAAAGTGTTGTAATATCTCACCATACTTACTCAGTTTGTATCCTAAGCAAATAATCTGATAAGGTTGATTATATGAAGAAGAATGTGACATCAAGATTGGAGGAAGACTTGTTAACAACCTGCAATATGCAGATGATAAAACCTTGCTTTCTGAAAGCTAAGAAGACTTAAAATACTAAATGATGAAGATCGAAGTGTTTAGTATGGATTACACTTCAAACTAAAGAAAACAGAAATCCTCACAACTGGGCCAGTAAGCAACATGATAATTGGAGAAGAGATGGATCCACAATCAACAATTACTGGAAGCAGCAGTCAAGAAATCAATTGACATACTGCATTAGGCAAATCTGCACAAGACCTCTTTAGAATGTTCAAGATCAAAGATACCAGTTTGAGGAGCACCAAGGTACACCTGACACAAGCCATGGTATTTTCAATCACCTCATGTGCAAGTGAAAGTTGGATACATTTGAGTTATGGTGTTAGAGAAGAATATTGAAAGTGCCAGAGACTGCCAGAATAACAAACCAGTCTCTATTTGAAGAAATTCAGCTAGAATGATCCTTGGAGACCAGCATGACAAGACTTTGTCTCATAGTTCAAGCATGTTTTTAGGAGGGACCAGTCACTGGTAAAGGACACCACGCTTGGTAAAGTGGAGGGTCATCAAAACAGGAAGAACCCTAGTGAGACGGATTTGACAGAGTGACATTAGCAACTGACTCAAGTGCAATAACAGTTGTGAGGATGGCACATGACTGGGCAGTGTTTCATTCTGTGGTGCATAGGATCGCTATGAGTTTCAACCAACTGGATGTCACCTAACAACACAATGCCTAGATTATTGACCTTTATGCATTCCATTTCATTTTTGACAACTTCCAAGATTTATACTTTGTACATACCATGCTTAGATTATGAATGGATATTTGCAGCTGTTTATCCTCATTTTGTTCCTTTCATGTCATTATGATCATCTGTACTTTGGGGAGTCAGCTCTTCCCTAGTCATATTGAGTGTCTTCCATCCTGATTGGAGCATCTTTCGGCACTGTATCATGCAATTTTCTACTGCTTTTCTTAAGGTTTTCAGTAGCTAACTATTCAAAAGTGGTGCAATTCTCCTCCATCCTAATCTGTTTTAGGCTGGTTCCTCTGCTGAAAGCTGTCTGTCATGGGTGTGTGTGCTCTGCTGAAAGATGTTTATCAAGGGTGTGATGACTTTTTTGTCACACGTATTTAAAATACGCGTGACAAAAAAGGTAAAAAGAAATGTGAAATAAATTTTAATGTGTTCTCAGGGTAGCAAAAGTATAATTTAGTGTGTAATCAAACAAATACGCTGCTGTTTCTGAGTGCCATTGAGTGAGTTCCGACTCAAAACGACCAGTGTATATATAGGGTTTCCAAGGCTGTACATCTTTTATGTGAACAGAATTCCTTGCCTTTCTCCCAAATTATTTATGAGGTCTTTTATATTTTTCTTTGTATTAAGTCTTCAATTTGGACTAGACACATTGCACACAGTATCAAATGCATATTATGTACATTTGATGTCCAAAATCATTGCTAGCTATTATTTTGGGTATCAAATGTATATAATATGCATTTATAGTTCCCATTATAATACCCTCATAGATAATGCTTTCAGCACAAAATTTTATTTTTACTTAGTTGGTTTATAATATCTATGAGATTAAAATAATCTAAGATAATGGGATCATGCTTCATTGACTTTTTTAATGGAATGAGTTGGTCTGTATTTTTACTCAGCATTCTGAATCTCTCTGAGTCTGTTATTATTTAATCTAACAATGCTTTAGGGGGGAGAAGAAAATTCAATTTAGCTAGTCTGAGTTGCTTGCTATGTAATAATCTCTCCTGACTGTTTTTTTAGCGCCACCCTTAGATTGAGTGGATCAGCAATTAAACAAATCCATACCATGGTTTGTCCTCCTAAAATTGGTAACACAACTAGATTTCCTGTTTCAGATGTATTGTACAGTTACCAAATTAAAACTTATTAATATGTTCTTTGTATATATGTCTTTCATATTTAGAAAGTGATGGGATAAAAAGAAAAATGATTTTGTATTTATTTGCTTTTTCGATATTACTTATCATCTTGGTATCTATTGTTTCCTTGAATATATTATTAATTCTAGAATCATTAAAACATAATTACTGATTTTATATACATAACTGGTTTTTTCTTTAAATTGTTAGATTTATTTTGTGTGTTATCTAAATTTTTTTTTTTCAACTTTGTTTGCTAGTCGGCAGCAGGAAATAGAAGAAAAGCTCATCGAGGAAGAGACAGCACGAAGAGTGGAAGAACTGGTGGCAAAGAGGGTAGAGGAAGAATTGGAGAAAAGGAAGGATGAAATTGAGAGAGAAGTTCTTCGAAGGGTGGAAGAAGCCAAGCGCATCATGGAAAAGCAGTTGCTCGAAGAACTCGAGCGACAGAGACAAGCTGAGCTTGCAGCACAAAAAGCTAGAGAGGTAACGCTCGGTCGTTTGGAAAGTAGAGACAGTCCATGGCAAAACTTTCAGTGTTGGATTGTGCCTCCTGCTCAGTTCAGAAAGAGATGGAATACAGACTATCTAATTCCTTTCTCATCTAAACTTACATTGCTGCGAAAGTTAATTTCTTAGCCTATTCCGAAGTGCTGACTTAATGCTTAAAAGTTATTTTCATAAAACATTCAAGGAACACTTTTTGATTTAATGGAACTGGCCTACATATTTGAGAAGTGTTTGAAACTTTTGCCATGGCTGCAGGACTTACACATTTCTTTTTTGGGAGGTTTGTGGGAGACAGGGAGTGGTAAAGGGAAAAAGTTACAATCCACCGGTGGTTATGTATTCTTTTCTGTTTATCACTCTGTTACCTAGACTGTGAAAGGCTCTTTGCCTTGAGTCAGATTAAAAAGAGCAGGGCCTATCATTGAGTGACAGCACCTGCTTTTGATAAATAGGTTTTCTTACTCTTTTTTTCCTTTATCCCTCACCTCCTTCTCTGAAACCCTCTTCAGTACAATGGACTAATTCTAGTATTCTGATCATAAGGCCCTCCATTTCCTAATGTGTTTCAAACAATCTCTTTAGGAAAAATGTCCAGATTATTCATCCACTTTTTAGTATCTACTAACAACTCCTTTTTTTCTCTAGAGAGTTATGAAGGAACAGTTTGTCCTTGTCTGGAGTCAAGCTAAACACATGATTTGTTTTATCAGCAGCTGGAGCAGAAGTTGAAAATGTCTTTCTGTGAGACAGTAATTTGCTACTGAAGCTTTATGGCTTATTTGCACTGATTACTCCAGGATCCTAAAACTTGTTGAAAGTCACTGTGAAACACTCATGACAATTATTTTACAGCACTGAGTGTCCCGCAGCCTACTTTACATAAGTGAAATATGAATTCTATTGGTGTGTGCCTTAGGAAATCCTGTAGTTGTGTGTATTTGAACTTAAATATTTTGACTCAAAATATGACTCACTGTCATTTTTAATCATGACTGTATTGTGGACAAGTTGTCATAATATTAAATCTCTTTGCTTTCCAGTAAGCTTAGCTTTTAAAATGCATTTTTTTCTTGTGCTGTCTTTAACTAGATGTACATGTCTGTTTATAGTGGATTTCACAGGCTCTGTAAAATTGATTATATAAAATTATTATTTATATCAGTGCTTTTAATAGCAAAGATATTTTTGGAGTAATGGTGCTCTCGTAGCGAGTTATTAATCATAGTAAGATTTTTTTCTCTTCATTTGCTTTTTGTTTCATATTAACAATTTTTTTTATTTTTACACGGACACAACCCTCTGACAGTCTTTCCAAATACTAAAATCATTTGAATATGTATGCTGTGATCTGAACAATGCCCAAACCATCAAGCAATCTTCATATAGTTTGCATTATAAAACCTCATGAAATTCTCCAAGAAAAAATAAATTACAGAATTTTATTTCCTGACCATGCGTCCCCTGGATTCCTGAATTTCAGTTCAGACTGTAGATGACAATATAAGCTGCCTTTAGAAATTGTCACATCTGAATGTTAAGTCCATTTTCCCCATGGAATAAGCCCTTAGTTCCATGAAGTATGGATTACCATTTGTATTTTTCACTAACAGTAAATGTATTTTTCTTATTAATTGTTTGCCTTAGGAATGATGAATTACATTTTTTGTTCCTTCTTACCATAAACATCTGCATTCCTCAGCTCAGCCTTCCTTGTATGTTGTTTCTTTATAAATGGTTGAGCTGCTGATGCAGGTATTGCCAAGCTAACAGTACAAATCATTTTAAAGAGGAAGCTGGCGCGTATGGCAGCCGAGGAGCACACTCTGCAGGACACTGGACAAGACAGTAAATATTCAACTTTTAATGCTGATTAAAGGAGTATAGGTAAAGAATACGTAGGTATACATAATTGGTGAGACAAATATTCACTTTATTTATATTTTATGTATTTTTTTTTTAATTTGGTAAATACTATCCAGTTTTGTAGTTGTCCTTGTTGATTTGTGTGGTATTAAAGTATTAGTAATAATTGCCAGGAAACTATCATTAGGGAGGGTTTAGTTGGTTGCTGTTTGGACTGGGAGGGATGCTTTTAAATATAGTGCTAGAAACCAATTTTAGTGGCTGCACAGTTTATCATTTTCAGACAGAGGTAGCTATAAAGCTACCCTGTAAGTCAGATCAAAAAAGTTCAGAGAAAGATTAGTAGATATTTATCATTAAAAATAAACATTTTATTTTTCTAACATTTTAACATGTCCTCCCCTTTAGGAGGAAGAACGTGCAAAACGTGAGGAGCTAGAGCGAATACTAGAAGAGAATAACCGAAAAATTGCAGAAGCACAGGCCAAACTGGTAAGTGTAAAATAAATACTTTCTATTTGCTTTATTTAAAAAAAAAAAAAAAGTGGGATTTTTCTGGAATGATTTTGTGCTTTATGGATTATTTTTCAGGCCAACTTTAAAGGCTTTTGGGTAGTGTGGACACATCCAGAAATCTCCTTATTTCTAATGTGGAGACAAAGCCAAAATTTGCTGGGCTTTAAAACACAGTTACTTAGATGAATACCTCTTGCCAGTACCCCTTATTTCCCTATCCCTTATTCAGAATTTCTTTCAGCTCCTTTCATATTTTCCTCTACCAAGAAGGAGCTCCGGTAGCATAGTGGTTATGAGTCAGGCTGCCAACCTCATGGTCACCAGTTCAAAACTACCAGCGGTTCCGCGGGAGAAAGATGAGGTGTTCTGCACCCATAAAGATTTACAGCCTTGGAAACCCTGTGCAGGGAAGGTCACTGAGTAGTCAGAACCAGCTCCACGGTACTTAACAACAAGCAAAAACAAAGTCAAACAAAAAAAGTGTTTAAATCAACTAATAGGCAACATTTCACTTCACATTAGTTGTCTTGTTGCCAATGACTAGACAGAAAAAGTATCAGTAATTACCAGATAGAAAAGGTACCCATATTTTTTTTGTTTTTTAAAGAGAAAACCCCCATTGACTCCATGTTTGATGCTGACTCATGACGACTCCATGTGTGTCAGACCTGCTTTATAGGTCTTTCAGGTGCTGGCTTTTGGAAGTAGATTGCCAGACCTTGTTTCATGGTACCTGTGGATGGACTTCCAGTTAGTAGCCAAGTGCATGTGTTTTCAACAGTAAATGCATCCGATTTAATAAAGTATAATCTAGCAAAGAATGCAGAGACTTAAGTAATTGTAATATGATACAGAACAATATATAAAAGGTATAGAGCAATTTTTAAAAAAATGTGTAAGGCAATACAAAACATTGAAGTAACATTTTAGGACTGATTGATGTTATAATTATTTTAGTTTCAATTGAAGTTTTGTGTGGTGGTCGTTGTGTGCCGTGGAGTAGTTTGAACTCATATCAGCCCTGTATAGAACTTCTGAGGCTGCTGTGCATCTTTACTGGAGCAGAAAGTCTCATTTTTCTTCTGCAAAACAGCTGTTAATTTCGAACTGCTCATCTTGAGATTAACAGCCCAATTTGTAACCACTGTGGTACCTGAGCTCCTTGTAGTTTTGTCTATAATGATTTTTCTTTTTTCTAGGTTTTAAAATTTTTATTTGCGTGTTTAGAAAATGATGCATTCCAATAATTAAAGTCATTTTTAAACACTTTTGTCAGTATGAGGAAGATAAAAGCTAGAATTAAAGGACTATAGGTATAAATATTGCTAAAAACCATAGATTGCTTAAATGTCATAGGAAATAGGGAGTATAAGAAAAAACCTTTTTTTTTTTTCTCCATGAAGGGTAGATAGTAGGCTTTTGTTTTTGCTTTAAATGTGATCCTGGGAGTTTGCAAGAGTATGACTATTTGTAGGGAAAGACTTGATAGTAAATATCAGAAACTTTAAGATGGTTATACCCTGTCATTGATTATGCTTTTAATAATTTAACTGATGGAAATTGAGTCAAATACAAACAAATTAACAAAGGTGTTCTTCAGAATTATTTAAAATAATGAAAATTGAAAAACAGCAATGTAAGGTCAAATATATGTGTACAGTACATGTTCCTATAGCCAAAAAGTAGTTTATAATTAGATGAAATAGGAAATAACTAAATATAAATTGTGTATTCTGCCAATATGAAAAAATAATTTATACACTTTAAGACAAGTGCCATGAGATATATAATTGGTTTTTTTTTTTTTTTTTGGTATAAAAATACTCTTCCAGTTTTCCTGTTTTATACAAGTGATATCACCTTATGAGTATAAAACTGAATATTGCTAAATTCATTAAAACAGACAGATTTAAGCCTTACTGTATGCTAACTTTTCAGTAAGCCCTTGTGACAAAAGATGAAACATTGGCCTCAGTAGTGACTACAACAGTTAGATGGTGTCACCTGAGAGAGGAGAAAATCACGTGGCAGTGGTGCTTTAGTCAAATAGTAGTTTTGGGGTATTTTTAACTCTAAATTGTTTAGCAAAAAAGTTGGTTTTTGCTATGTAAGGAGGCAAAAAAAATAGTAGCCAATATGCCTGATTTTACAGTATCAAGCAAGAATTAATCCAGACATTGCTTTATTTGACTTGGCTTTTGGAAGAATAGTTTCCTAGTTTTTTAGTTATTATTGACAATATCCAATTATCTTTCAGTATTTGAGGGACTGATTTTATTTACAATACTGTATTTTTATTTTTTGATGGCACTTTAAAATTTCAAAATCTTTTCCATAGTTTTTTGTGACAAATCTTGGAAGATGACAGATAGTATTCCAAAATGAGTATGTCTTACTTAAAAATCTCGTATAAAATTTAAAATAACATACCTTGTCAGAGGAGGGAGCAATTAATTTTGACTGAATTCTTTGACGTTTTAAAAATAAATGGAAAGTGTTAAGGCCTAGATCTATAGTGTATTTTCTCTTATGTTTCATGAACTACTGAAGTATTGGAGGTGGAAATGCATATGTATCATATAGCTCTTCCTTCTCTGGGAGGGCTCAGACCACCCTCTTCAGTTAACAGCAGCTAAGCACTGGATTGCGTATGCCATTAATGGACTCCCATTTCTTCTTCTTAACAGTAGTTTTCTCCCAACCTTTGCCAAGTGGGAATAAATGGTCAGCATGCTATATACCACTCTGTATCTCACCAGTTTGGGGCGGGGGGGGAAGTACCTTGTTAAAAGTTAATTTGAAAGGTGTTCCACATTCTCAAGTGTCATATAAACCAGAATTTCATTTTGTAATTAAGAGATAACTCTGAAAACAGTTTTAGAAAACAGTAAAAATGAATGGTACAGTAAGCTGCAAAATGGTCCCCCCCAAACGATATCCACATCCTGTTTGTTGAAAACTGTACTACTGTATGTGGCCATTCAGAAATGTCTTTCAAGATGTGATTGAGTTAAGGGTCTTGAGATTTGAAGCGGGGGTGGGGGGTGGGAGGGGAGGCTTGTACTAGATTTTCCTGCTGGCATCTTGAATTTGGCCGAGTGACACTAATTTTTGACTGTTGAGCTGCAGCATAAATTTCTGTTACTTGGAGTGACCCGTTTGTAGTGATGTGTTATAGTAGCCACTGGAAATCAATTCAGATTTAAGTACAGAAAAGCGAATGTGCTGCTGTAACAAATACGTTAAAAATGTGGAAGTGGCTTTGGAATTGAGCCTGGAAGAATTTTGAGATACATGATAGAAAATGCCTATTGTTAAGTGCCATCGAGTTGGTCCTGACCCATAGTGATCCTGTATAGGGTTTCTGAGGAGCGGCTGGTGAGCTTGAACTGCTGACCCTTCAGTTCAAATGACTTTGCAGTCTGGCACATTAACCCACAGCGCCACACTAGGACTCCAAGAAATTGCCTAGATTGCTTTAAACTGTTACTAGGAATATGAATGTTAAAAGTGCTTGGTTGTGGCCCAGAAGGAAATAAGCATTTTTTGTAACCTGGAAGAAAGGTGATGTTATACAGTAACAGAAAACTTAGCTGAAGTACATTCTGTAAGAGATTTCTAAAAAGAATGTTGAAGGTGCCACCTGGTTTCTTTTTGGTGTAGAGGAAGGAGACAAACTGAGGACAGAACTGTTAAGCAAAAAAAAACTATGCCTTGATTGATGACTTGCAGGAAATTAGCCTAGCTAAATTTTTTGAATGCTAAAATTGGAAGGTTCCATGTTACAGTGTTCAGTAAAAAGACTGTGTGTGATGACTAGACAACCTTTTGTGTTGAAGAGGTAGTACATGTGACTCCTGGATTCCCTGTACCATCTCAGCTGAAGCCCAGGAATAGAAAGGAGATGATCAGGGAAGATCTGTGGAGGAACCTCTCCTCTAATGATTTGAATCCCCATGACATCCCCTTACTGAGAGACCCATGAGGATTTTGAGCACGTTTTATAGGCAGAAGGACTGTTATTTTGGACCTCATAAGTAGAAGTAAAGAACAGTAAGAGATGTCTTGAAGATTGGAATGATGTGCCCATGCATCCATGGACAATGGGCAGCCACCAGAAGCTGGAAGAAGGAAAGAATTGATTTTTCCTTGAAGCCTCCAGAGAGAGTGCAGCCCTGCCAACACTCTTGATTTTGGCCTAGTGGTGCTGATTTTGGGCTCTGGCCTCCAGAGTAAATTTGTCCTCTTACACTACATTTAAAAAAAATTTGTTACAGTGGCCACAGGTATCTCATACATTTGGGAAGAATATATAAGCATTTATCATAAAGTGAGGCTATATATACAGTGTGTAATTAGGGGTGTGGCAGTGGTTTACGATGACAGCTGGTGTCATCCTGTATGGCACAATATACTTGAGGAGTTTAACAATGGTATGGAAAGGACTCCTGGGGTGATGCTGTAGGATCAGCTGTTGAACCCACCAGCTGCTCCTTGGAAACCCTATACAGGGTTGCTGTAACTCAGAACTGACTCTGTAGCACTTAACAACAACAACAACAGTACAATGATGGGCCTTCAAAAAGTTTGTAGAAAAATGGAATTAAAAGAGAATGGATATTTTTTCATAAGTTCTTAGGCTTGTATTTACACACTGCAGTTTTTATGAAAAAAATATGGCACAAAATGTGTCAACTATTTTAATTTGAAGTGATTGGGAAGTTATTAAAGGATTTTTGGAGTGATAGAGCCTTGGTCCTAATTAGTAATAATGTGATTTAAGACTTCATGTTAATAATGTATTCAGGGTAACGTTTACAAAATACATTTTGGTTGTTAGTGTAGTGACTTATTGTATGGTGGCTTGAAGGACTAAGACTGGAAACAAGGAAAGCACTGAAAGCCTGTCAAAAGATAGGGGTTTGACTTGGTAAAGCAGCATTGGAAATAGGGAAAGAAGAATTGATAAACTTGGT